TTTTCTTTTTCCAAATTTGCATCATTTGAGGAACAGTTAAATCAATTTTGCAGACTCTGGGCTTTAAATCTCCTTAGTTGGTCGGATATTCCGTAGCTTCTCAAGCTAGGAAAAACAAAGTCTTGGACCAATGATACATTAGTACTGTGTTTCCATCTCTAAGACAAGAGAAAACTATTATCCCAAAAACCTCAATATGTTTTTTAAAATGTACATATTCAGTCATTTGGTTACTGTACTTTTTGAAAGTAAATGTTTTTTATATAATAAAACACGGGATTTTTCTAGCGCTTTTCCTAATGCTCAAAGACCCTTTACATCAAATCAGAACGGAAACAGTACAAAGAAAATGGATGTATGTAATAGCTACTGTATCATCAGAAGTACTAATCCCCCCCTTCCTGCGACAGACTGCTGCTGGAGGAGTCTGACGATGAGGAAGGCGACCTGTGCCGAATCTGCCAGATGGGGGAGGAGGCGGCCACCAACCCCCTGATCCAGCCCTGCCGCTGCATCGGCAGTCTGCAGTTCGTCCATCAGGACTGCATCAAGAGGTGGCTCCGCTCCAAAATTGGCTCCGGTAAATACCAACCCCTCACTCCGCTGCAGCTTTAACCAAATCTACGTCTTGTCAACAAAGCTGACATGTTTCTGTTAGGCACAAACCTCGAGGCCATTGCAACCTGTGAGCTCTGCAAGGAGAAGCTGCGTTTGAACATTGACAACTTCGACATTCAGGAGTTATACAAGACACATGTGCAGGTGAGTCACCGACCGTTTTACTTCCTGTGGAGATTTGAATTTCACAATTTACCGCAATCAATACATTTCTATTGAAGTAAAACTCGCAAAATGAGAGTAAACATAAATTGATGGTGTATAAAACAACAACAGTTTACTGAAAGCTATTCCCCTTGCTTCACAGTCAGAATATGATGAGTTCATCAGCAGCGGCCTCTACCTGGTGGTGCTGCTGCATTTCTGTGAGCAGAGGTTCTCTGATGTGCTGGGAGCTGTCGATGCAGCTGGGGTGAGAACACACACAAACAAACACACACACACACACACTTACTAGATCCTCCCATAGTTCACTAGCTAGTGCGTCACTACAGTTGATCATATCGTTGTCTGGAAGAACCTCTTCAGACTTCATCCCAGTGTACAGGGATCTTTTACTCCGTCTAAACCAGGCTTGGAATCCTTTTTGTTTTCATCTTGGAGGTTTTATTAATAATCTTGAGCTCAGCTTATCTTCAGACTGAGCTATGAAATAATCAGACCTCTAAACCTTTTTCAAGCAATACAGTTAAAGATACGCAATTTTAAAAGTGCGTGTGTGAACATTTTATTTACAAAAATATTATTAAATAGCTAGGTAGCGTCATGTTCAGTTAAAAGGTTATAATCTTTTCTTTAATATTACAATCCAAATCATGTCCATTGCGATCAATACACATAGAACAGCGTTATGATAAAAGGGCATGTATAGAAATTAGATGCAGAGTGTAAAATCATGGAAAATGGTTTAATAAAGGATTAAAAGGTCGCTCGCGCTTATTGACTGCGCTCCAACACACATCTCTGAATAAACAGCCGGGCGAAGATTCTACAGAAAATGTTTACTACATTCAAGTGCTTATAGTAAATAAGTCAAAACTGCCTTAATATAAGATTAGGAAAAAAACAAGTGTTTAATTACGATCTGATTTCCCAATCAGCTTAAGGCTAATGTATACTGCATACTGTAGCTTCTTACACATTGAACACAGATGCTCAGGTCAATGGTTTTATACACAATTGGAAAATGTATATAAATCTAATAATCTTGAAGTGGAATACAAATCTTGAAAATAGAAACTGCTTCCTTCTCTCACCCAGTTATTCAGCCTGGTGAGAATCCTTCATGAACACATGGACAATCTTGAAAGTATGTGGATCAATCATTTCTCTTCTATGCTTATTGTTTCTTGAAAAGTGAGATTCCGTTTGTAATAGTCATCAAGGCTGTAGCATACTGTCAATGATTTACTTTGTTTATCCTTATTATTGTGTGACGACAGATTTTGACTTGATGTGTCTGAATTTCAGTTCCTGGGGAAAGTGACGTGGAGCTGCGAGACAACAGACCGTCTATTGAGTTTTCTGACCTGGACGACGGTCTTGAAGAGGAGTACTAATTATGTGAGTGGTGGATTGAGGGTAAAAAAAGAAGTGGGTCACTCCCTGCCATATGGTAGTTCACCCAGTTTTCACACATGCTTTGAATTTGTTATGTTCATCTGAAATGCATCTGCAGCTCAGAAGATGTCTCGCCTTTGTTGCAGGTGGCTTTTGCAGATATGCAAACTTGATAAATATTTTGGTTGACACCACTGTATTTCTGTTTGAGTGCACTTTATTCAATTTTAATTAAATAAAATGCAATTTCTTTTCAACCCTTATGCCACAAGTGCTTTAATGTGTGAATGGAAAAGCACAGAGGGACAGCGGTGACACGTGTCGGTCTGATGTTGTTGTGATGACAACTTTTGCGAGAAAATATAAAAAGTGGTGATTTTTTTCTTTTCTGTTTTCCTCTGAGAATATGGTTGAAGAAAAAGAAGAACTTAACCCAATGAAAATAAATCTAATCATTGTTGTGTCAGTGTTTGAAATGCAGTTCAATTTTGGAAATAAAGATTTAATGCAAACTGCCATTTATGTTTAGTTTCTCTTTATTATCATAAACGGACTGTTGTCTATAAATGTTGCTGGCACAAGATGGATATTGAGGTGCTTATTGTTAATAAATATCTGTATAGAGGACTGAAAACTCCTTTTTTATATACTTGTAGTTCAATGTTTTTGATATTAAGGTGTCATTAATTGACGCATCTCGTCTTTTTCAATAGCTTCTGTTATAGTCCAGCAGGAAGGGCCCTCAGATTTTGAGATACCCCTACCTGAGGTAGAACAAATGACAACAATGTTTTTTCTTATCTTTAGGGTCTCCCATTAATGAAATTGATTGTTGTCAAATTTTATTTTGGGGGAAAACATTTTCTTTGGGTTGTTCTTTAGAACTACCCCAATCCCTGAAAAAGATAAATTAGACCAGGCCGAATATGGGAAAGGTGACTAAAAAGCCCCTAACTTGAGAATGACCTCTTATCTTCTTTAGATTTGCTGGGGTATGAACCAGGTGGCTGTCCTACATCACCAAATAGTCAGACAATTATTTAACTAAGAAAATACTGAATTATAGTCCTGTAAACTTAGCTTTAGTTTAGACGGAAATTGTACTTTTTGGTGATAGGAACAAAGGACTCAATCGCTTTTCTCTCATTTATCAGAAAAACAGAAATCCCTAAAAAATATACCATTACTGAATTGTCTAGGGTGCTATTGAACACTAACCAGTAGTTGTATGGAAATATCTGGTATAGTTCTATTGCAAATGAGATTTCTTTAGACATAGGCCTACTCTTTTCTGATAGTCAAATTCCGAATGGGGGATAAGTGGCACAATAGCCTATAAGTTAAGAATGCTCACTCTGATGGTC